GGAGGTGGTGTTGGTGGAGGGGGGGAGGCTGAAGCAGCAATAGCACAATTAATGTCAAATTAATGCTCCTTCAGAGCAGAGACATCAGCTCACCTCCCTCTTGTATTCCTCTCCGCCCTCACCTCACTACCTCTGTCCTTACCTCCTTTCTTCCTCCTTTATTTCCTCCCAACAATCATCCACCCTACCTCACCCACCCTCCCCCCTCTTCTCTCCTGCTTCTATCTAACAGCACGCCACCTAATCTCACACATGGGGGAGCTCATCTCGGCATTGTGCTACTGTGAAGCGACTAGCTTAGTTCGCTAGCACACTGAGTTTGGTGTGGAGTGCTAATAGGGACTTGGAGGTGGGTGGAGAGGGGGTGGCTGAGCGGGGGCCTGATTGGTGTCTCTAATTACGGCTTGATACTAAAGAGTAATTAATGAGTTTGTGGCTGATGGCAGCAGCTTTGGAGCGTCAGACTCGATCGCAGGCGATAAGAGCTGTTTGTGCTGAGGCCATGAAGGATCCCATGGGACAGGGGTATATAAAGACTCACAGACACACATACACACTCTCGCAAAATACAGCGAATATGCCTTCAATAATTAACAGTTAAATTTTTCATTAAGGACACTGCTGAGGTGAATTCAGGTAAAAGAATTTGTCTCAGGTCTTGCTTTATCAAACTAGTCACAGAGGAGAAGAAGAGGACTTTAACACTTGTTCTCACAGTAGGTTTGGCCATGCTAATAGCAGTGTCTCCATACATTTAGCATACGATTACAAACCAAATGCATGATTAATTTCTTGCAAAATTAAGCCTTTCTAGTAGGAGTGGGAATTGCCAGTGAATCACAATATGGTACAATAAAGTAATCAAAAAACAGAATCGCTGCAATTATCAGTGTGGGTAAGACAATCATATGATACTACATCATAATAACTGATTAACCAAAGACTACAAAATGCCCCTTTATGTCGCTTTTATGACACTTAAAGCTCCTAAATGAAGTCTTTTTTTTTAGATTTTATTAGATTAGTTTAATAAAAATGCATTAATAGTCTTGTTTTCAACACCATTAATGATACATTCGACCATCAAAGGTCAGAAGGATGAGATTTTTTTCGTAGTTGTCAGAAAATGTGGCATAAGCATTTAGAGGACAAGACAACAAATAACTACTTTAACCACAGGGGGCGCCAAAACTGACAAAAACCTCAGAGGAGCTTCAAGTTTGATTTGGAGACAAAACAGTAACAAAATACACACGACAGTTCACATTTTGTGCTTGAATGAATGAATCGAAGTATCATCTTTATTGCTTCCAAATCAAAATAACAAGGAGAAAATAAAACTTTAAGGTAACCTAACAAGTTAAGCATGAAGGTAGAGTTTATTTAAACCTTACACAAATGTAACCATCTCAGGACCCTGTTATAGTATAGTTTTAGTTCTGATATACAGCATAGCTTAATACATAAACATGTTTTATTAACCTGTTAGACTCTACCTGTAACAGCCACTGCTGTATTCTCCATGATGTAAGCTCCTGTTTTTCATAGCCCTCGATAAAACGTCTGCCATATGAACACCCGTGTAAGTCTCATGCTCGACTCTGGTTTACAATGGGTAGTAATGCATTTCCCATTTGTCAATAAAACTGGCTGTAATTGTCACACAGGACTCTATGGCTTGTGAAGTCCACATAGTGCAGGTGAGTGAAACTCTGCAGACTGGAGTATAAAGAGGTGAAACAGCCTTTTTAAATTCTGTTTTCTTTCTGGTTTTGAAAGTGGTTATTGGCTGTCTTCTTCTACTTCTTTGAGGCACAATCAGCAGTGTGTTGCATTGGAGAAACAGGAAGTGGGTAGAGTGAGTGGGGGAGTGGCGTGCGCTTAATCCTACCAGGACTAGGCCTTGAACTTGACCGGTGCAATGGCTGCTGTATACTGTGTACATTAGACCCAACAACTCAGGGTATTCCCCCTTGTCGGCTTCTTCCTCCGCCATTTACTCAACCCTCATTCAAGTCATTAGCGTCACCATGAGGAGTCGTGAAGTAGAGATACAGTGAGTCTAATTGGAAGGAGAATCTCTTCTGCCATATTTTTCAATTAAAATGCTGATATTGGTAATTGAATTTTTTTGCCTGTCAGTGTATATTGCTTTACAAATAAAATCCGCATTTTTGTCTCATCCTTACTTTTGTATTAGTTAAAAAAGCAACAACAACCTGGAGTTGAACTTTCCAGAAAAAGACCCAGTTTTAATGTCAAAACCACTTTTATTTTGATTGTTGGAATTTTCGGTCGTCCTCATTTATCATTTTGAGAGCCTCGACTTTCTTGTCAAACTCAGATCAGTTTTTTTGCGCTGCATCAAAAATGATTTATAGATGTGCGTTAAGAAAATTCAGGTGTCCGTTCGTATAAACTTCCATCACTTCACTCATTTACTTGTGCAAAAATGTGAACATCTTTCGTGAAAATCTGCTGTGAACTAAACTGATGAGCCGTGTGGCTGCATGAGAGCATGATAGTGATCCTGTGAGGGAGAAAACAAAGCTTGAAGGACAATATGTGTTCCTCTGGCTGTGTGTGTGTGTGAGACGGAGAGGAAGCGGTGTGTGTGGTTGTCTGAGAGGGGGACAGAAAGAGAGAGAGACAGCGTGCTGAGGAGAGTCTCTAAAACAGGGGCAGCTGTAGTGCAGTTAATGAGGCCTGCAGTCGAAAGCCCAGTGTGAGCACATCATGTGTGTCTGAGTGTGTGTGTGTGTGTGTGTGTGTGTGTGTGTCTGAGGTAGAGTTCCACAGACAGTAAATGTGTGTGTTTTCGTGTGAGTGAGGTGAGTTACCCAATGTGCAGTCTTGCTTGACCCTCAGTAAGCCTGTCACCTGGAACCAACGAGCCTCAGAGAGGGGAGAGCAGGAGGGAGGGCGCGGGGATGAAACAGAGACAGTGAGGAAGAGTTTTTTTTTTTTTTTTTTTTTTTTTTTTAAGGCGGTGCCTCTCACTCAAGCGAATAACTGGAGCAGACTTTCAGCATGGCTGCTAACAAGCTCTCTGTCTCTCTTTCACTCTCTCTTCCTCACTCTCTCTGCTTCCTTTCATTTGTGTGTCTCTCTCTCTCTCGTTACCCCTCCATTTCTTAGCTCTCTCAGGAGTGGCTCTCTAATGAACAGAGTGTGTGCGTGCAGCAGCCAGGTTACCATAAGAGATGCCTCACAAGGGCTTCTGATTATAAAACCCATGTAAAGAGACAAAGAGACAGAAGGAGAAAGGCCTCTAGTGAGACAAGCTCAAGCTTTTCACAGCTCACCCCCATAGGGAGCAGAGCTGACAGGCGATATGAAGTCCACTGCCTTCAGAATAGCATGCTAGGCTAGCTGCTAAACGCTGCCCCTTCAGTGACTCCTTAATGGACCTTTTCTTTTCAGAGACAGCTGCTTCATCACAGAAGCTCGAGGTATTTCCTCTTTTTTTTAGGGGATGATTAACGCCTCAAAGTTCTTCCTTAAGGATAATTTAGTCCAATATTTACCGATATTTCTCACGAGACTGGACGAGATGTATATAAATGGCGGTGTATATAAACACCCACATCCCACAACCCTGGCCTCTCCTATTATCAAGTGAAGAACAGTTCAATGTGTCGACTTTATTTTATTTTGAAAATTGACCGTATATTTTACTCTGTAGCCGCGCACAACTTCCGCTACTGCTCGTGCTTATTTGATGCGCGGTGCTGCGGCATCTGGTAAAAATAGAAGCGTTGCGTATCTGATCCGGCCGCCAGAGCCGATCCGGACGGCGGATGGATTGTGTGGAATCACACACATTGATTATAATGCTTGCGTATTTGATCTGCCTGCCGTTCCGGATCCTGTGGGTTTTAGCTGTGAGGCCACATCGTAAGGTTTAAGATAAAGCTGGCAGGGGTGGAAATGTCTAACGGTGGACAAAGTCCTGCTGGCTGTAGTCTTGATGCTAGCCTAGGCTGAATCCTCACTGGTATCAGTTTGAGACTTGAGAATAAAATGGCTTTGGCCTCCCTTCATTTAATATACAGTCAGTCTACAATATTATGTTATACCCCTTTCAAAGCTTACCCTAAAAATTTCTTCTTTTATTTGTGTATTTTACAAATGTTTCTGCTTGCCTTTACATCTTCAAAATCCTTGTTGCAAGTTTATTTTTATTTAAAATGGGTATTTCGGAAAATCTATACAGCAGTAAGAGCAGTAATTACATTTCCATGTAATTAATGCTAGTAAAGGTTAAATGACCTGCTGTATGACAAATGGTTTTATGAGATGGACAACTTTTCCGTGGGGCTTCACCAGGGAGCAGACGTTCAGTTTCCATCAGACTTCAGTGAAAGATTTGGTGGTGGTAGATTTTCTGTTTGTGAAATATTGAGTCGGCCTCATGGGCTCACAGTGGAGATGGATGCTGGGAAACATGTGTAACTGAGGACTTCTGGTGACTTTGCCAGTGGAGAGGTCTCTCCAGAACAACCAGGGTCCCCCTGGTGTTAACAGAGGTCCCCACGGCGGAGCTCCGCCATAGGGCCTGCCTATCAGGAAATAAAAGGGGGTCTCTGCAGGCAGAGTGTGCATGATGGTGGGATTTGGAGGGCAGATTTTTGTGTCAGCCTGAGCGAGTGGAGCCCTAACAGGCAATCACAGAGGAGGAGGGTGTGTGTGAGGGCATCCATCATAATATTGTGAGCCCAAGGGCCGGTTTCTCACACACTGGAATTATAGAGATAGCAGTGACAGTAACACACACACTGTCACTCAGACACCAAAATCACACACACAAACAAGTCACACACACACCACAAAATACAGCTCTGCCAGTGCACCCCTAGATACACACACATCAGCTATGCTTGTGCCTTCATATACAGCTTCTACACACCACCTACAGCCACACACACGCTTTCATCCATCCATGCACACACTCAAACCTTGCCTCTTGCTATTCCCTCAGCAGCAGCAGCAGCAGCAGTATGCGGGCAGACAGGGTACAGTGTGTAGTACAGTGCAGTGTGTAGTGGTGATGATACTTTGCTGAGAGGAGCGGTCCAGTCTAGACGGAGGCGATAGACATCTCATTAGGGCTCTCACTTGCTCTCCCTCCTCTACAGCACCTGCCGGCTAGCAGCCTGTCCTTAATCTTAGGGGCCAGAATTGAGGAAAGGAAAAGAAGGAAAAAAGACAATAGAGGAGAAGAAAAGGTGGGTGAGAGGAAAAGGTGAGATATGAGGGGGAGGAGGGAAATCAGAGTAGAGAAGAGGGAGTAGCAAATGAAACAAGAATGAAAGAAGGAAGAAGCAAAGGAGGGAAAGTTAGACAATGATGATAGCAATAATAGTCTTGATCCTCTAGGAGGCCCACTCCCAGAGGCTTCCTCTCTGGCTTTCTCTCCCACCCTCTCTCTGTCTCTCCTTTAGTCCCTTTGCCGCCCTCCCTCCTATCTCCCCTCCTGCTGCTGTTTCACTCTTAATTAATTTCTCACCACTCACCAGAGCCCAGAGCTGCAGCTCTCCTCAGCCGGCCTCCGAGACTGCTCTCAGATCAGCGCAGCCTCGCAGCCACAGGAGCTCATTTCAGCCTCTATTTGCCTTGAAATCAGTGCAGGAGCCGGGCCTCCACCACGACATTGCCACAAGGTTTGATCGGCATTCAGATCAGTTTCATTTGCTTAAGACCCTCTTCGGCTATCTGCTCTGTCAGTAATTTATGCCTAACAGGGGTCAGAGGATGTGCACTTGGGTGTGAGGCAAAGTGAAGAGGCTGGAGCTCAGATCAGATTGTTTTCCTGCATGACCGCAAACCACCATGTGACTTTTATAAACTGGGCCTGTCATCTGGATGCCTATTCTGGTGCTCATGTAGAGAAAAACAAATTAAACCTCAGAAACAAACTCCTACAAACTTTGTCGCAGTTGAAAACATCAAAAATAGAGGAGGATAAATCTGCATTACTGCAATGTGATTTTTAGTTCTGCAGTTGACCGTTAATTTCATCAATAAAAATAAGACTTTAATGATATCCTGGGAGTTGAATAAACATTTAGGTAAATTACAAGATAAAGTAAAGCTATGTCTCACCGTGAGCCATAATTGCAGGTTATGGCCTGTGTGTAGTCATGAATGTTGAGCAGTCCAAGCTCAAGAAGATCCTTCCTCTCAGACTGTTTGATCTGAATCACTTTCAAGGATCATGATCTTGAGCAGCCCTCTCTTGGTCCCTCTGGACGTTCTTAGAGGCCACTGACTGTATATGAGATACAGAAACGTCTGTGGTGTCCAGCGCCAGATTAAGAGCCATTATCCATCACAGTAAACAGACAAATCTCTTGATTTAACTTTCATCCACTGCTCTCACTGTTCTTGGTCAAACATTTCCTCTGCAGCAATAACAAAACTGATATAATATTGCTCTCTTTACCTGCTTGTGCATGCACACTGTTCTTTTTTTAAACATAAACACTAGAAGATCTTATGTAAATCAACTTATCTGTAGGTAAATTAACAACCGTTGAAAATTTAAAGCTAGAAGAGAAGTTAAGTAAACTGAAGTCCACACAGTGACTGCTTGATCCAGGCCCCAAAAACCAATGAAACCCAGATAAAGCCCATATTTACAGCAGAAATGCATGTTTACCTGTAACAAAAGGACCACAAAATCTCTGCAAGTTGATGATTTTTCACACAACTTTTAAAATTGAATAATATAAAGGCCAAGAGCTTTGCATAATTAGATGTAAATGTGTACGGATTGACAGGCAGGTTTAATGTGGCTGTTTGCCCAGAGTCTGTGACCTCAACAACTCGTCTTGCTTGTTTTCAAGATCAGTCAACATCTTATCTGGCCCAGAATTCTTAATATGCTGACCACCATCTTAAAGCTTTCTAATGCCTCTTTGAGACCAACTGGTGACACTACGTTTGTATTTAAAACAGACTATTCCTTTTACATTGCACCCTTGTCTGACAAACTGAAAATATTCAACCAGTTTTTGTTCATGGAGAGCACAGTGGAATTCCTTGTTGTGTACATGTAAGCTGATTCTGGTTGTCAACCTGATCCTGCTCTGTGCTTTGTGGGGCCTTATCAGAGACTGGTCGAGGGGTGGGAGGTTTGTGCATTTAAGACAAGAGAAGTCACAGCTGATTGTCTAGTTTTTCGATGGATCTGCTGTCATGTGTGTATTAAATTTGGATTGTTCTATAACTATAACTATTCCAGAGTTTGTGATTGGAGCCACACCCCTAGCAACAGTCTGCTATTTAGGAGTGGCAGACTGTTGCTATGACGTGGAATGACCAATTAGTACAAGATAAATTTAGATAATAATGAGCCAACAGTTAATAAAAAACAAGCTGAAAAAACAAGATCCAGATAAAGAGCATAATCAGTGTCGGCAAGTTTAATAAAAGCCAGATAAAAACTGCAAATATGTGAAAATCTGATAAATAATACAGAATTTTGTCCCCATAGTGCTGTGTATGATTTGTATTTTGTACCAATGGCTGCTAGGAAAAATGCAGTTATTTTTCCGTTTAGTCTATTAGGACCTAATGAACTTTGTATCTCCTCACATGGCAGCATCTAAACAAACACTCAGATACTCTGACCCTGACACACTCTCAACCCTTTGACCTTTGCCTTCTTGCCTAATTTTCAGCCGTGATAATCCTTGCCCTGGGCGTACCCTCAAGTGCTCACCAGAGCTCTTTCTGCTGGCTGCCCAGAGCATCAAGAAAAGAGGAAGGGGCCCTGACCTGAGGTTTACCACCGCCCACACACACAAACATACATACACACACACACACACACACACACACGCAAACACAACACCTCCAATACTCAGGAGCACTGGGCCTCTTCCCTTAGCAGAAATTGAGATTCCTTTATTTCTCTGCTTCCTATGGCAGTAATTGTTCAGTGAGTTAGAGGAAGGATGGGAGGACAAAAAAAAAGAAAAAGCACAAAACTGAGCGGACATCCTCAAGGTCGCTCCGCTCGGCTGCTGAGTGTATATGTGTGTGTGTGAGGCAGAGGAAAGGAGGAAGAAAATGCATGGATGAGCTCAGGGCCAGATGTGTATTGTGACCTTCCTCAGGGGAACCAATCACTGCTGGCCTTTAGGTTTGACCTTTAACCCCCATGACCACCAATTTAACTAAGAGTAAAGCCCATGTAGCACTGCACTCTCTCTTCTCTCTCAGCGCTACATCTCGCAGTGTTTATCCCCCCCTTTAGAGACCGCCTGCCTTCGCTCTGCTGCTGCTCTCATTCAGTGCACTTTAGTCACCTGAATTTTTTTAAGGGTCTGCAGTAATGGGATTTTCTCGACGGCAACGTCACAAGAAACCTGGATTACAAAGTTATGGGGAAAGATTAAAACAAAGCGGACAGACGTGGTCTCTTTTGAGTTTTTCTTTAAACATACTGTCATCGATCTTTTCCTGACTTTACTTGAATTTTACCATTTTACCTAAAGCTGCTATGAGGAGATTTTTGATTTTCATAATCAGATGTAGCTGTCAAAAGTCAGGAGAATGACATTTTGAAGAATGCCAAAAGACTACTCAAAAATGAAGAGGACAAGATAAGCAAAGACTGCTACATCCACAGGGGGCGCCACAGTTGATACAGACTGAGAATTACTTACTTTGTGTATTTTAATTGATTTATTTATTTTCTAAGAGTTATTCTCAATACGTTTTGTGTCTTGTAAAATGTTTATTTCTCAACCATTGATCTTTTACGAATTCATGACCAGCTTGTTTTCTTTTGCTGCCTTTGTGAAGCATTTTGTAACTGCTCTGTGAATTAAAGTTATGAGTTTCATGAAGACAGCAGCACGATTCCTGTAACAGAAACTCTCTCTCTCTTTTTTTTTAATCATGATCATAAACTCTTTATTTATTTATTTGAAGACGTGGGCATGATACCTGGATTTCACCCAATAAACAGATTTAAATGTAACTGTTAATTCTCTGTTTCTAAATAAATCTTCATCTGTCATCCCTTCAACTTCCTCTCCTCTCCTCTCCTTTCCTCTCCTCTCCCTGGTTAAATGAGCCACAGGGGAGCATCAGACAAGCCATAACCGAGCAGCTGGAGCATCCAGCTGGGTTAAAAAGGAGAAAGTGAGGGGAGAGAGTGGAGTAGACTTTAGATTCTCCTCTTGAAGACAGCAAACAGCAGAGCTTACAGGGACAGAGCCTGGTGCTTAAAGTCAAATGTGGTCTTTATGCGAGTAAACACTTCACAGCATCTAACAGAAATGTACTCTTTTCCACAGTCTGTTCTTTCCTGTCTCTTCCTTTTTCCTTCATCTCCTCGTTTTCTGTCTTTTCTCATCACATGCACACTTATATATCTCAGATTTGATCCGATTTTTGGGGTATGCTGTTTATGCACATCATGTCATAAACATGGAGACAGGAATGAAACCTTAAAATTTAATTTCAGGATGACTCTGGCACAAACTTGTGTGGGATGTAAACACCTTATCTATAGGCACCTGATCACTATCTGCTCTCTGCACAGGTGAGTGGAGCAATGTGATATTTAGAATAATATTATGACAGATGATATATTGTGAATATAAAGATGATTTTCATACTTAAGTGAAAGAAGAGTTGTGAAAATATGTTGGATGAGTTTGACTTTTAACTTTCTCCTGTTTTATATTTCCAGTGATGAGATTCAGGGTATGTGTCCACTGCCAGTGCACAACCCCACAGGACGCTTAACACCTGACATGCTGATCTGCATTGACTTTGTTGGGAAAACAGGTACAGCTACAACTCCCCACTGAGCAGTTTTTGGTCTAAAAGCGATCTCAACTCAACTCAACTCAACTTTATTTGTTAAGCACTTTAAAACAACCACAGCTGTACAAAGTGCTGTACATAACTAGACAAAACAACAAGATAAAAACCAATCAAAAAACAATTAAAACAATGGATAAAATAAAAGCAGAATTAAATGTATTGTTTCAATGCTTTTAAAAACTAATTTATAAACATAGAAACAAATAACTAAAAACAAACCATAAAACACTAAAACAGGAGTCGAGTCTCATGGAGGGTTAAAAGCCAATGAATAAAAATGGGTTTTAAGACGACTTTTAAAAATGTCTAAATGTAGCCTAGACAACTGGTCTAAAATCAGGCTACCACAGGTCTAAAAATGAAAGTTTTTTAGACGTCTAAGTTTAGACCAAGTCTAAATCAGGGCAATATCTATACTACACTGTATATTGCTCAATGGCTATCATAATTATTTTGGTTAAGTACTTGGGGATCAGTTATGCAACTCACAGTAACTTTTTGAAATAAATAGTTATTGAATGATTGGTTAAAGTGCAACGTCTAAATTCTGTCTAAGAATATACAGAATCTAGACAGTTGAAATTATGTCTAAAGCCAGACGTCTAATAGCCGTCTATTGTTCAGTGGGATCGTTGCATCATTAGCTCCTGTCTCTTCACCATCCAACCCTCTTCTGTTTTTGTTTCTTGCACACATCTTCACCCCACCTTTAGCCGAACACTTGACAAACTTGGGCAAACTTGACTGGTAAAAAGAGAGCACACAGGGAGATATGATGAAAACCACACGACACAAAACCACACAAAACTGTGGTCTGTCTCACTGTATTTCAAACATGCCCCTGAACTGTATTTGTGGTCAACCCAGACCTGATCCGCCATGTATCAATCAAACTCAACCATATTAAAACCCCGTAATGCAAGGTCTAGCACTCTGGATCACAGCCAGCATGTTCAGACGCATGATCCCTAAAAATAGACTTCGCTCTAACCCAAATACAGACTCTGCCAACTCCTGTCTCATGTTGGTTACCTAATTTTTGAATCAAATTTGCTCCCGTCTCTCCAAACTTGATGTAAATCATCTTAACCTGATGCAGACATGCCTGAATGAGCCAAGTCTGGATGTTTTCTCTCTCTGACACATGATCTACGTCGTTTTCAATTTCCTCTTTGATTTATAAGATATCTAGGCATCATTGGACTCATGCTTTTCACTTCCCTGTTATACTATAGGGATTTAATGTATTCCTCTGTTGCCTTAAGCTGTCACTTGCAATAAATAATTTTTGTCAGTCTATAATAATCTGATAATTAGAAGAATATGTTATTCATAGGGACTAATAGGATCAGGGATGGTTGAACCGATGAATGAGTGTCTGGCTCTGGCAGTAAAATTATGTAACTATTCTCATCATCATGTAGCTGAGATGTTGACACAGAAGGTATACTTAGAAATATAGCAGAGGGGGGTGCTAATCCAGATAAGTCAGGCTGTTCTACACAACCCCAAAATGTGCAGCTTTAACTATAAACTGAACTATAAATTTACACATCGCTTAAGTCTTAGCATAATGAGATTTGAAATGAATAATAAGATTTAAAAAACATGCAGAGGGGCTAATCTGGGATTGTTATTTTTGATACACATTTTTGCAACCATTTAATGTTTTATGACAGGCCTACCTCACCATCTGTGCACCATGAAAGCCATGATAAATGTGAACGTCTGACTCCAACGTGTCATCCCGTGGGATTTTTATTTATCATCCCTGTTCTCACATTTAGAATAACACCATTAACACGTTTAGGAAATTATATCAGATCAAGCTGCTGTCAGGGTTCCCCAATGGCATCTCGTTCATTATGAGCTGAAAAGGCCCAAAGTGAACCTGAATCAGACCTCCTATTGTGTTCACGGGGGGATGTGGGGGAGGGAAAAGGTAAAAGAGGGGGTAGATGGCAGGGGCCAAGCGTGAGCAAGTAGACAGGGGATGCTCCCCAACCTCCTACCCGTGAACACTGACACTAATTGAGAGGTCTATGAAATATAGATGATTTCAGTGTTGCCCCCCTCCACACTCTCCCTCTCCTTACTGCTGCACCTCACGTCCCCCGTCTACCTGCCTGAGTGAGTCAGATCAAGATTGCATGCAGACGCTGTGTTGGCATGCACATGCCCCACTGCACACAAGGTATATCAGGGATGGTCCAATGGGCATGATCGGTCGGCCCAGTCGGTCAGTGAGAGTTAATGTATGTGTGTGAGTGGGTGGGACAGAGACAGCAGAGTGAACGTGCAGAATTCTTATTATCAGTCATCAAGTAAATAGTCCAAATGTGTGCAGAATTTAATGTTTGAGGTTTTGTTTGCCTTCAGCCTCCTTGAAATCCTGAAGGGACAAAGACTGAAACACTTGAAAACAAAACTTCCTTTGACCAAAATGTTATAAATCACAATAATATTGGATTGTTACTTAAGTATCATGTTAAAATATTATCGTAAGCCCTGGTGATTCCCAACCTTATACTATGTAGATTACAACCCACGGACGTAATTTGTGGAGGGGAAACAGGGGAAATGTCCCCCACAAAAGCCTGTTTTGGTCCCCCGCAGTTTTTTTAGCGTCTGAGAACAATGTTACTTTACGCCATAGCAAACCGATACACGTCAGGTACTAGGATCAAATGGCCGCTTATGCTGAAAATCGGTTTCCCTCGGTTTGGATCACTCACAATGGTCTTCGATTGGCTCTGCCGCAGGGCCGCTTTTTGTGTGTGATGGGCTATCCCTGCTGTCAGTCATTCCAAGCCCGCCAGACTAGTGTTTTGCAAGATGCTCATTTTCCCTCTGTAACGTCACATTCTTTGGAGGTTTCATTTACATCAACCTTTGTAATCAAAATTTTGTCCATGTTACAACCCCTGCAGATTTAAGGATGTTTTAAGGCCCAGGGTAAAGGAAGGATACCGGGCTGTTCCCAATTTTACATAAAAATATTTCTTTTTAACTTTTAAACCTTCACTTCCTTTCAATTCTTTTGTGTTTTTTTTTTATTCTGTGCTTTTGTGTCTTTTTTTTTTTTGCCTCTTTTGCATTCTGCAAATTGAAGCTATCACCGGTTAACTAACTTGAATTGAATTGAATTTTGCTCACTTTAGATATTACAACTGACATGACATTGATTTGTTAAACATTTTAAAATTACCATTTAAAAGAAGGAAATCAATAGGCTACTTTTTTTTTGCCCTTGTTTGTGTACTTCTGCCACACACATACACACACACACACACGATCCTACACGCATTTCACAGCTTTCGAGAATTTCTGCACAATGTTGCCTACCATCAGCACTTTGCCTTGGCTGTCAGTCGTCCCCCTGCTCTCTCCAATGGCTCACACTCAAGTGGGAAATCATGCCTCACTGCTATGAATGTGAGCGCATGTTCTGTGTGTGTGTGTGTGTGTGTGTGTGTGTGTGTGTGTGTGTGTGTGTGTGTGTGTGTGCGTGCGTGTGTGTGTGTGTGTGTGTGTGTGTGCGCTCTCGTGTGCAGATGCACTCAACTGTTAGGGTACACGTGTGTTTGTGCATGATCAGCTGAAAAGCCTGGCGTCATTCTTAAACCGCATGGAGCAACACTGTGGGGGAATCGCAGAGAAGGATCCCACTCTGTCTGGAAAAAAAGATCTTTCATTCAGTGGAATTCAGGTGCTCAATTTTGCCCTTTTCCACATGATAAGTGACATACGCTGACATAAGGGTCAGCCGTGCAGTCATTTGAAGAGCTGTGGAAAGCCATTCTGGCCCTCTCCAGTGTTGTTAAGCCCCTTTAAATCTCATTACCTACACCTCATTGGTATCTGTGATGCATTTTCCACCAAATGTCACATCATAATTTGTGAGAGTTCAATTCAGCCATACTTTCCTTTGCAGGTGAGTATGTGGAAATCAATGAAAGCAGCTGCAGAAGAGATTGAGGGCAGAGAGAGAGGGACGAAAACATAAGGACAAAGAGGAAGAGTTGCAGCGATGAAGCTTTTCAAACTTCCTTTTAAAGCTGTATTCCTTGCTTTCTGTTCGTTTCACCTTTACCTTTTTTTCTTTTTATGTTGCCACCGTGTGAGTCCTCCATGCAGATATATCAACATTTGGCTAATAAAACCTCATACTCCAATATCCTTGAATATGTGACCTGTTTTTTTTTTGTTTTTTTTCACAAAGGTGAATCTTTTGGACCTTTTTTTTCCTTATTCATTTGAAATACTCCATACTCAGGAGGGAAAAATACTGAAAGTAGAAAACAGCTTCATAAGACAGAACCTGCTGGACTGAGTGCAGACCCACACAGGTATTTTCATCAGCACAGGTGAGTAGGGCTCCAATAAGAGAGCTTTTCTAGTTTGTTAAGTGTGTACTTAGTTGTCTACTCTCACTTTTCGATGGATCTAAAAGCTGCTTCTTTAAGGATGTCGTATATTTTCATCTTAGGAAGGGAACAGAGGAGTCATCCCAGCAGAGCGGTGATAAAGGATGCACAGGTGCGTCTTTGTGATGGTCTTTTTCTTCGTACCTGGGGTTAACAAAAAGGCATGACACACAGCAGGTATAAACAAATCACTTCAACGTACAGTAATAGAAGACTATAGGGTCTTCATGACCACTCTCATGCTCAGTATAGTTGGTTCATTAAATGTAATGGTGTAGATTACAACAACACAATGGACAAATGCATGTTGTGCCATATTTAATCTTACAGATATTGACACCATTATCAAGTCTCCTAATTATTGATACTTTTATATTATTTGGTTAGAAAATGAGATACCAGGTTTTTAATAAAGCAGCTACTTCTTGTATTGAAGACATTTTATTTACTCTTGCTTTGGAATCATTTTACCGACCTGACCCTGAATGCATCATAAGTAAACTCACCTCATTTTGTTAGATAAATAATGTTTATTTTGCCAGTTCTATAATAGATTTCCTCACTGGATTTTATATTTAAATGATAAAATTTTCCCAAAAAATGTAAGTACTCTCACCATGGCTGCTTTGAGTGGAGGAGGAAGACTTTCTTGTAGGTTTTACTGCTGAAAGATGGTTGAGGGTATAGTATTTTGCTTTGATTTAATGCACAGTGCTTGGCCATAGAAGTTGATAACTACATTTTGCGTCCTTTATCTTTTGCTTTGTAGAAGGTTATGGCCACATTTTAGAGCTCCTTGAATGTTCAGCCATCTGCATAAGCAACTGACCACTAGAATGAGTCTTTGTTTTGAGTGATATCTTCAATTTTCAAACCCTTTACTGGAAAATTGATGTATGTTTGTGCACTGGCGGTTAGATAAGATAGAATTGTACATTATCAAGTCTTTGCAAGTGAGATACTGTAACAAAGAATAACATCTAAACCTGCTCTTGTTGTAAAGTTTTTTGATATTATGTTTGTTTTGATTTATTTAAAGATGTCTAGGGTTTAGAAAAATGTTTAACTGTGTCCTCATGTGTCTAGTCTTCATATCTGCTGCTAGGCTGAACTTAGTTACAAGGAGAAAAGGTAAAGAAAGGAAACAAGGTTACTTAAACTGAGAGATGAGAAGGATTTAGGTCAAATCTTGCAGGGTCTAAGCTGGAAATTATTTACTTGACAGATTTTTGAACCAATGAAAGCCAAACGAACCTCGCCATTTAAGGCCGGCACTGTCCAGACATGTAATGAAGCTACAGCACTGTGTGTTAACTAGGGATTTAACACACTCCAAGGCTTAAGAGTGACTTTGATTTGACCAAAGTGAGAGTGATAAACTTTGATTGTGAAAAGTTTGGCTTAACTGCAGTAAATCTGTAACTGTTAAACATTAATCCATTGTTTCTCAGAGATCGGGAAATCTTGATCCATGCTGCTGGTAAAAACTGTGCTGTGTAGTGAAGTTATGCAGGGGTCACAGTTTGCATTTTGATAAGGCTGTTTGACAAAATACAAAAGAGCACATGTGCTAATACTCGGTTAAAGTCAGGTATTTGATCAGGTGTGAAAGTGTTAACCAAACTTTGAATACCAAACAATTGCACAGGGGTAAGGTTTCTTCTACATCGTCCTGAAGAACTTCTCACTGTTGGATGTTCTCTCTTGGCAAAGCAGGAGATGAAGTTAGTGCAACTTCAAACATTTTTTGTCACGCAGTACCATTTAGGTGATTTAGTGATGTCCTGATTGTGTCTTTGGGCGAGCACTCAAACTTTGACACTTGTGGCGGTACTTTTACTCCATGTGTGGTCTACACATTGCATTACATATGACGCTTTCAAATGGAACTCATCAGCTTGTGGTTACGGCATGGGAAGTCAATTACACGATCTGCTTTGTGTTCAAGTGGTTGAGTCGTGAGAAAGAACATGGCAATATGGTTGCCAAAGCACTCGCTGGTGAGCTGTGCAAGAAGTAATGACAGAGGAAAACATGAGGCTGTTGGGAACATCAGTGTTGTCCCAAAACATTATGAAATTCTGGAGAACCACATGCTCCCCTACAGTTCTACTCACAAGGCTGGGAACAGTTCCTGTTGATGGGACACAATAAACTCTACAAACACTATTTGAAGGATAATTCAGATGTCCTCCTGTGAGGAACATCAATCTTGGCAGTCGTCTTATGATGTGGACAAAGCAGTCTTTGCTTATCTCATCATTTACATATTCAAGTATCTTCTGATTAAAATCTCATCCTACAAACTTTTGGCAGTCAAATGTATTTCTCAATGTGAATATCTTAAGCAGACTTTATACAAACAGGGCTGTCTCTTCAGCAACTTGGGTGATGCCAAAAAAAAATGACCAGTCTTATTACTGATGATCTTGTTTACATGTGTATTTCATAGAAAGGCTTCAATATGAATTCCAGTCAAGAAACTAATCAGTTAGTTACGTTTATTGTGTTTTAGGATCCTCAGTACCACATGTCATTCTTGACCTTATATTAGGGGTGTCCTGATACAACATTTTTACTTAAGATACGATGCCGATATTGTTGCCTTCAGTATTGGCTGATACCGATATTCATCTGGTAAAATTTTGCATGATAAGTTTTGCACTCAGCTGCAACGTCTTTTTCGGACTTCAAGGAAAAATACTGCCCCACGACCAACATCACTCCCACTCCTTTCTACTTTGTTGGTGCCTAAGTACACACTGTTGTTGTGAATATGTGGACTCTACCTGCTAGATCCAGGTGCTGCTAGATAGAGGTGCTGGAGTGGAGTCTGGAATGGACCGCTTGTATCGGAGTGCTGATATCAGAGATTTCAGACACAGGCCGCTATAATCGGATATTGGTTTGGTTTTTTTTGCTGATATCGGACCGATATCAATATTTGATTGGGACATCCCTACGTTAAACGCCCCTGTAATAACAAATTTTTTAATTGAAGATAACATAAACCTTTATTCATCCCATGGTGGTGAAATTTACAATTTCTTGAAATTGGGAGAAGTCATTATCATGTTGAGATGGCCAAAGATAGGAAAGAAAATAGCAAACAACTTCCTGAAGACTGGTCCTGGCTCCCCGCCTATTTTACTAATTTCCTGATGGATGATTGTTTATTTCTACTTGGACTAGAAACAGAAACGTGGTACTTCTTATACTAAAATTAAAGCCATTTAAATTTAGAATAAATGGAAATTACCCCCTTTGAGTGTCAATATTGTAAAACACCATACATTTCAAATTAGCTATAATAACTTCTTGCTTTTAATTAACTGTCAGGCCAAATCTAAACGTTTGAAATGTCAAAACTTGAGAAATGTTCCTAGTTTTATCAAAACTTGGATTAAGGACAGTCCTGATCTACTGTGATGGCATGGATGCAGAGTTTACCCATGCTCCTGGGAACTGAACCATCAGTGTTTCTCTGCAGCGTTGGGTGAGTGTTTTGCCCATATGCTGTGTTGTGCCCTCTGGCATCAGCAAACTTCTAAACAAACTATGCAAACTTTTTCTTTTCTATAAATCAGTGCATGTGAACAAAATCAATCATTGTCTGGCGGAAAAAGAAGCCTAGTGAGCAAAGTGAAAAAGGCACAGGGAAGGATTAAATTTAAGGTTAATAACTAAAAAACCACCAGGTAACTGAGATGATGATCTAGTTGAGCTAAAGTTACATCGCTAGAACCATTTCTCTACCTTTTCCTAAACTTCCTTCTCAGCCCTCCCCTGAGTTTTTTTCCCACTCTGGCCAAAGTCTCTCCTTCTATCCCTCAAATCATCACTTCCTTTCTTTGCCAATCCCCCTTTCTCCCCCCATCTCTCTCCTGTCCTCTGATTTCCCTCCTCCTCCTCAGCCAGGTTTGTCGTCTGCCACTGTGGCATGCTAACACTCTGACAATGCAGCGCCCTGAATTATTGATGTGTGGATGTGAAAGTTTGATGCCTGACTCGCGGGCAGATTGAACCTGCAGGCAGCATGCCTTTGCCCATCAGCCGACTCCCTGCTCTCTGCGCCACTCAACACTCTCTCCTTTACACACTCACGCACACACACTCTCGACAATACACAACACATCTCTCCCCACGGGCTGCTCCACTGCTTCTCTCAAACCCATTGTAAAACCTCTCAGATATTTGCTGCAAGATTCTGCAAGTGTTACACGTAGACGTTGACCTAGAATGTATTTTTTTATACTTCAAACAATTTTTGGCCTATCACCTTTATGATGCTCATTGAGAAAACAAACACGGTATATTCAAAAATAAGTAAGAATGTGCAGAACAAGTTGCAAAACACATGTCTGGTGGAAGGAACAAAACATTTCCCCAGAAAAAAAATCAAGTGGCATGCATTGAAAATTTAAAAAAGGTTCAAAACAGCTGAGCCCAAAACACTCAGCAAATAATATGAAGCATAAAACAGCATGAGAAAAGAATAAGGAGTTCTGTACTGTACTCAAGTCTCTTTTTTTGTATCATTTCACTTGATTT